GGTCGTTGGACGTGATAAGAGTCGATACAGATACGTTAAATAGTTGCGATCTTTGGCAAACTTTCGAAATTCTTGTGGATCTCGTTTCACACGAAACATACGGACATAATTGTTGTCTTCTGTTTTGTGTTCTACTGGATCCGAATGTCTAGACGAAAGTGGCGAAGCCCTTGACGAAACTTGCCGAAAGGATATAATAAATATTAAAATATAAATGCAAAACATTGCAGACGAAATCTTTCTTGGAAAAGAATACATTTTAACAATAAAACTCTATTGTTATCTCATGTCTATTATTGAATGTTTTTCTTATCATTTGTAGAAAACTGTACTACTTATTTTATTTTAAACTTTTATTTTGTGTAATCAAAGTGTTTTCTGCACAGAGAAGCTTTAATGAACCTTTTAAATCCAATCAAAAATGTAAAATATTGGTTTTTCCGGGGATCCGTCTGGAAATGAATTGATAAAAAGATGTCTTAATAGCATAGAAAATATCTTTTTTGGATGTAAATATCTTTGTAAATGATAAAGCAATAAATAAATAAGGATAGTGTTATCTATTTCTTCTTTGGGTTAAAAATATGATTAAAAATTGTAGCCTGACATTGTGACGTTTTCACAATAAATAATTTCTCTGCAATATCAATTATATATAATAACTTTTGATTAGATTATAGAAGTAAAGTTTATAAATAGAGACATTCAATTCACTGTAAAGAATCAAGTGTGCAGCATTAATAATAATACGGAAAGAAAAGATTTCTTGCCGTATTATTAATGCTGCACATTTAATTCTTTAATTAATGCAGTATTATTATTATTAATTCTTCTATTTTTTGTAGTAAATGTCAAGTGTAAATGATATCATTAATCGCATTCGATATTACCTTCTCTATAACGTCTTTTTATATTAAATGACTTAAAAATTCTTTTATTTGTTGTATATTTGTTTACACTAGACTCTCGCTACTTCGGCCATACCTTCCATAGATAGGTGTCAAATTAGAGAGAATGCCAGATTACTTAGTAAATAAGCTTGTATCTAGTGTATCTGGCGCTCCTGTGTTTAAGAAGTGACTGGATTAGTAAGAATCTACTGTACATGAAAATAAAATCACCTATTGAAAAACTTTACGAATTTTCATTATGAGAAATTAATATAATATTTTTGTATTTGTTCGATCTATTTCATTACAAAATTAATAACAACTGTATAAGTTTACAGTATACATACAGGCGTACATTTATATACGTTGCAGTCAGTAATATTAATTTAAAATAATACTTGGATAGATTTCGTTTACAGTCTCTCTGAGGGCAATACTCTTGCTGAGAGGAGGAGGCTAAATGGTATCTGCGAGAGGCTGCAAGGTGTGAAAATATTCACTGCAGTTGATCTTTGTCTGCAGGAAACTAGTAGTTTGGATGCGTGGCATGAAACTGGATGTTTTCAGAATGGCCGCACTGTACAATTTGCAGAGAAGATTCTGCAACACTCACCATATCCAGCAGCCCGTGCCATAGCGCATCAACTTGATGGCAACTAGACCTTTAAATTGTGAGTCTTCAGTGACGATAGCGCTACCATTTTTACGTCATCGTATGCAAGCTTTGCAGTTCTATAACTTCCCAAGATGAATAACATTCCTTGTTAGTGTTGCAATAGAGCATCGACATCTCAAGTTATCACCACGTTGTTTTGTCCTTTTATGAGGTAACATTTACAAGAGAAGTGTTTGCTTTCAATCATAACAACCTATGTATATGGGCTGTGCAGAATTCGTGGGTAACGACAATGCATAACTACCAGGAATACTTCTTCATAAAATTTTATTTCTTTTTATACGAAAAACCATAAAAAGAATAAAAAATCGACTGAAGAGGAATAAAAAAACTCCAAAACGCGTATCAGTGAATGTAATAAAACGCATTGTGTCCTATCAATTGACCTCCATTGTGTCGAATAAATAATATAAGTAACTATTTGCGTTAACTATAGAAGTTGTCAACAGCAACAACAAAATCAGCGAAGCAAACTCTAAACACTAGCAAAGTAAGCTTACGCATGGGTGGCATTTCTCCAAAAGTAATCTTAAAAAATACAGAAAGTAAAATTAAAATTCTGAACATCCATGTTTCAGGTGCTGCAGAAGCTATGGGTAAAAGAAACAATAGATTGTCGGTTTGTTTACGTAAGATGATATCCTCATCGGAAGATCGGCTGAAGTGAGCCAAAAGTTAAAAGAACAACACTAGTTTCAAGACATACGAAACCATCACTTCCATATGATCGCCAGAATAATGGCAAGTGGAGGACATATAAAATGGGAATTGTCCACGTCCATGTTTTCCACTATATGATAAAAGTTGTTAGATTATATTTTCCTTTTATTCACATAATATTTTGTTTGAACTCTTTTAAAAATACATCAATATCACAGAAGTCAATATTTCGTCAGATAAATTGTTTGGTTTGGTTTGATAAGATATGGTAACATAACACACGGACAATTTGCCACGGAAAGAATGCTTCTCGAGAGGACTCTGCTAAAAAGTGGTTTCTACATATTAGACATGTGAAGTAAACACGAAAAACTCCAGATGGTAGCCTGTTGACAAAGCACCGACTACAAGGTTGTTGTGGTTTTCTCCTTTCGGCCGCTGGTGGACATCAAGTACATTTATTAAACAAATTAAGATTGGAATAAAGGTTCTTTATTTGCTAGTTCCATAATAACAGGAACTTTTCTGTAAAGTGGTGTAAGTCTAATTTTTGGGGGGATATTTAAAACTGCATTTCAACCGATTTAAAACTCAATTAATTAGACAATTAGATTAATCTAATTAATTAGACAATTATCATCTTGTATATATATGCTACTTTATCATACTCGCTATTTAATGTTTTTGTGTACCCGATTCTCATTGTAAACTTTATCACTGTATTCATTTCTTTTCACTTATTATTGTACACATAATATTCTTTGTGCACATAATTCCTGTATACCCTTCTTCCTGGTAATGCTCCATGCGGGGCCAGGAAATGTACGTAATGTATCTCAAAAATTAAAAAATGATAATGATGATCACCTATTAGTAATCGAGTGGATATATAGTACACTGCTAATTGGTGGTGAGTTCGCTCCTTGTTGACGCTAGTCACGTGGAATTCTGTGGGTTTTGTTCACGTTTGTAACACCTTTATAGGGACCAGTCTCTCATAAGAGACCTTCTACGAGGCATTTTTCTTCGGCAGATCCCCCACTTCTTAGGTTGCAATGTAAGAATGATCTGCCAACGAGAAAGGCATTTTCTCTAGAAAAATATTCTTTATTTATGCGTTTTCATGATGATTTCTTTATAAGAACAATAGTTTCAAACAATAAATAGAATTGTAAACCTATAAATAAAGAAACGGGAAGACTTTCTACGAGAAACTGGCTTTTGTTTAGGAATTACAAACGTAAATAAACTCGAGAAACTCTGTTAGCCTGCCGTTAACATGGATCGAACCCATGACCAACCTACGAGTATTCAGGGGTTTATTTACTTGGTCATTGGTGGGCGCGAATAAGGGAAAAGTAGATATCTTCAAGAATTATGAAACATATTTTTAATCTAATTGTTTATATATATCTTCGATAAGATTATAGACAACAACTGTATATATAGAGACATTCAATCCACTTAGAGAAGAATAAAGTGTGCAGCATTACTAATAACTCCAGAAATGTTGCTCTTATTTACTTTATTTACAGTGACGTTCGCCAGATACGGTAACATGTTTTTTTTTTGTTTTTACTTTAAAAAATTAATATTAAAAATTTTACTTTTACAATATCTAGTCGACCTTCCATCCAAAGCTTTACAAAATCCTGATCTTTTCCAAGGAGACATTATCGGAATTGAAGACAATGATGTAAGTTTATTTGTTTTAAATGCTTAATCAAAATTAATTAAATTCAATTGAATTTGGTTTAAATTAAAATTTAGGTGAGAAATGCCGTAACGGATCTTTCACTTCGCTGGAAGGGCGGGATAGTGTATTATACTATCGACCCAAGTTTAAGTTCGGTTACTTTTACAAAGTTAATATAAGTAAAATTAGCTTATTAATTCAATTACATTTTTTTATAATAGGAACTCTAAAGCCTTTAATCAAAAAAGCAATGAAGCACATAAATAATGCAACAGAAGGATGCATCACTTTCAAAGAAAGAAATAGAGAACGAGATTACGTTAGATTCATTAGAGAATCCGGGTATATTTCATGTAATTAATACAATATTTTACCTGTTTTATAATATTGTTACACTCACTTCAGCTGTTACTCCAATCTTGGTCGAAAGGGTGGTAAACAATATCTATCTCTCGGAGAAGGATGTGAATACATAGGCACTGTTGTGCATGAAATTTTGCACACACTCGGCTTCTATCACGAACAGAATCGACCGGATAGAGACGATCACCTTATTGTTCATTGGGATAATATAGATAAAAGTAAGTTACCATTATCATATATTTTCATTTAGTTTGCTAAAAAAAAATTGATGTAAATTTCGAAATTTTTAGAAGCTCTGCTTCAATTTGAAATCTTTAATCGGAGAAAGCTTACTATTTATAACGATTTTGATCTCCACTCTATCATGATGTATGGAAATTATGCATTTTCTAAGAATGGGAAGTCGATGACCATGGAAGCGAAATCAGGAGTAAGGTTGCTTGATCCATACCAGAAGATTGGTTTAACTTCTAGCGATGTTTACAGAATTAAAGAGTTGTACGAGTGTGTATGAAACAAAATACTTGAAATTGTAACATTATAATCTATCATGAAATAAATATAAACGTTCAAATGTTCATTTAAATTTGTAGCTTAGAAACCCTTGCCGTAACGAATTTTAATCATGTAATGTAAATACGTTTGTGTTGAATTAGGTAGAGGGTCGGCTCCACTAGAGAAATTTTTACTGTTGTCACCAAGTGTCAAAAGTAAAGGATTTTTTGTGCGTAAATTGATTGAAACAAAGATTCATACTGTAGCTTTGTTGTCTGTAACTATAACCCAGTATTCTCGATTGTTTTTAACACCATCTTCGGAGATTATTCTTAGCGTGGTGTGTTCACCTTTTTTATTACATACTCGCCTAAGTTAAAGGCCGTCATGTTGCTTGTTTAAACATCCTTCTCGTAATCAGAGCTCACAAGTGACCGAGTGGATAAAACCACTAAACTCTGGTCATACCTCGGCAACAAAGTTGCCAACGTGGCGCTTCCGATATTTTTTTGTTTGTTTAACACCTATATAGGGGCCAATTTCCCACAGAAACTTCATCTTGTTTATTCGGTATCAGATTACTTTATCGTCAGATAAGAATTTCAAATATTATAGAAATGAGCGCCTGAATACTAAAGCTGCAAGAACTGATAAGTCCGGTGTAATAAAACATTTTATTTTGAATTAAATCTAGCAAAGAGTTCCATAACTTTCCCGAACAAAATTAAAATTGTGGTTATGAGATTGTTTTAAAAACCTTTTATATTATTAATTGTTATAAAATGGCAAAATGCATTATATCTATATATATTAATGACAATGTTTGGATGTTTGCTCGCTATACACACCTAGGCCGTTCTACCAATTGCTACGAAACTTGGCAGTTGTGTTTTTATATGGCTAACTTAGATAATGTGAAACGTCCCACCTCAAAATGTATATTGGATTTTTGTAAATCAATAAATTTCTATCTGAATTCGATCCGCTGATGTACAAGTAGTGCCAATAGATGACGATACCTGTAAATGATCAAATGTAATGTTTGTATCCAATGTAAATCAGAAATTACATTTTAAATTTCTTACACTACGTGTAAATTGCATGAAAATATTCCTTAAAACAGTTAATAATAAAGAAAACTTCAGTAAGTACGAATTTGTCTTATTTGACGTCGTTTCCTGGTAATGTTGTCCACTGCGTGAAATCGAAAGTGATAATTATCTTGTGGAAAGTCTATAAGAATTTAATTTTCTATATCTAACAACTCGGGTTTTTTTTCATTTTCAAACGATTCTTTCTGAATTATATGTGATAAACCTTTGTAAATATACATGAAATACTATAATATAATATAATATAAGCATTAGAAGTACGAAATAATCTTAACCGTTGTTGTAACTTTTTTCCTCGGGCAACGCTAGGCTCACCTGAGGGTAATCAATAATTAATATCACGGAACAATTAATACCTGACATTGTTATAGTGCATTGTTGTTTCCTACATTTCCAAGTTTATAAATTGATTTATACAAATTATATTTTAAATCTTTTGTTTATTTAAACTTTAAAAATGGTAAGTAAAGTCGTTAAATTCTTTTGTGAGGGGTTGATGAGTAGGTTTTACTTTGTATTGTAATGTGAAATCAAACAGCTATAAAAATATGTTGTGAAAATCTGCATAACTAAAATATATAAATAGGTAATAATTATTGGAAAACTTAAAAGTTTATAATAATATTTATTTGAGCCAAACATTTTTGAAAAGGAGAAAGAAAGGAATTATCAATGCACTGAATGTGAGAAAAAATTTTATACACAACGCGACTTAAATAATCACGAGCGGCATCACACTGGTGAAAAGCCGTTTGTGTGCGAAGTCTGCGGAAAACGATTTTCTCAGAATGGAACTCTAATAAGTCACAGAAGAGTGCACTTACAAGAAAAGAAATTCAAGTGCAATTACAATGGTTGTCCTTTCACCACTAAATGGAAAGTTTGCTTGATTAGACACATGAGTAGAATACATCAACAAACAATCTCTTTTGAAGTAAGTTATTCAATTATTAATATTATTTTTATTTTTAATAGGGTAGACAATAAAAATTATTAAACGAAAACATACAACGTGATTACACGATTGATTACAAGGAAAACTTAATTAAATTATGAATATTAGCGTATGAAGTTGTAGTCATTTCTCAAAAATTAAACAAAATTTTTACTACTACATTTCTGTTTACTTTCAAAATATGAACTACATTGATTGTATTCGGTTAGATATGAAACGTAACAAGATTCTTCTCAGCCAAATCGTGGCAAATAATGACACGACATCGACACAAACCGGAAAGATTACAACAAAAAAAATTCGTGAAATAAATGACATTTTAAGAACATTTGATAAAGATTTACAACTAAAATACTATTAAAGAGATGTGTGTTCTGACCCCTAACAAGACTAGATTTTAGGTCAGGATTGAATGATAAAGCGTTTTACAAACATTATGTAATTATATGTTAATAGTCATAAATTACATAAATATAATTTAATTAAAAGCTTAACAAAACTAATGATATTTTAATTTTGCTATTTAATATATAATAAATTAATAAATAACAGAATTCAACCAATTATTTTACATTCAGTCAAAAGAGTCGAAAATGAAAATTTATCCATGCAATAATTGCAACGAAACTTTTGGAAGTCCATCATCTTTAAAACTTCATATGAGATCTCACAACGGAGAGCAGCCATTTTTATGTAGTATTTGCAGGAAAGCCTTCAGCAATAAATCAAATTTGACTAGACACAAGAAAAAATTTCATCCAGAACTGGAAAACGAGCTTTTCTGTGGGGTAAATAACGAAATGTTTTTAGTAAACTTTTAACTAACAAACAAATATTAAACTAAGTGACATGTAATAAAACAAAAGACAATACCTAAACCAAAAAAGCTGTATTTTCTTCTTTTACTTCATCCGGCACTGCAGACGTTCGTAGAGCAAAACTTCCTGGTCCAGAAAGCTTAAATTTTAAACTTAAGCATTTCTCCTTATGAGTGAGGTGCAGGAGAAAAAACTTTCGGGTGGATAAGTCAAAGTTCACGTGGATAGCCCATACAGCTAATTTAGTTTTACGGCATAGTACTTGAAGAAGAAATGTAGAAAAAAATAATACATTGTTTTCTAAATTTCGCCTCCAAGCGCCAAGCTTATCTTTACTAAAGAAAAACAACTAAGAAAAATTTTGACCATTGTTTAAATACTGTAGTCATAAATTTATACTTAAGCACTTTATATATTTTTAAGCGTTTACTTTAGTCTAAAACTCTAAATGAATCAATACTACTTTCTATACTTCATGAAAAGAAAAAATATTAAAAATATTCACATTAATAAACTGTTTCATGCATTGAATTAATTCTAAAACAATTTGAAGTAATTCCGGTCTACGGGAATCTCTCGTAATCGTATTTGTTGTTTAATGTAAATTTAAAACAGTACCCGAAATATAAAAAATTGTCCAATTTGTTAGTTTACAAATAAATTTTGTGCAAGTGATTTCTAGTTGCCTGGGCAAGCAGTAAGGGAGTGCATGCTTCTGGGATAACTTTTGCACTTATTGTCCGATTTTTGAAAAACATTTTATACGTTAAATTTTAAAAATTTTATTGCCAAAATTCTCATTGAAACTCTGGCATGCGTGTAAATTATAATACGAAAAACATAATTAATTCTGAAAAAAGATATATTCAAAAAACGAAAGTATCGACTCTCTCCTATTTGACGCTTAATAACAAAACAGTGTTTTGACATTTTTGAATGTTGTTTTCTGGAATATAAAGCCATACACATGCTTCATATTTGTGTGGAGTTTGGTGAATTTTGGTTAAACTAAAGTTATCCAAGTTCAAAGAAAAAGAAACCAGATTTATGTCCCTCATCCCCACTACATCACGTCACGTTACCTAGCTGTTCAATCGCCTCTGCTGTAACAGCATGCCGAGCCTGTACCAGTTTAAAAGAAATGTCATTTCCTTTTGTCAATACTTTCATCGTATTTTTTTTAACAATAATTAACTAACAATCTTACATTTGTGACATATTACTGCTCAAACTGTTCGCCCAGGCTAAGTACATCGTCTCGAGTTTTTCGATGTGACCTATCTAGTATGCATTGTAATATTTATAACTAAATACTTTTGTTTGTAAAGTGAATTGATCTGAATCGTACATTATTATTGATGTGATTATAAACTCTTCAGATTATATTAATAACGGTTTGATTTTCAGGAAGAAGAAATACACGAGCAGATTGTTGTAGATGAGAACAATAATGAACACGCAGGGAGTTTGTGTAAAACAACTTATTCTAACGAAATACTCTCTACAAATGTTCAAGACACAGAGATAAACGAAGAAATGCAATTAGAAGAAAACGATTCGAATTTGAAAAATATTCATAAATCTGTCTTTGACATGGATTTAAGTTTTATAATGGAAGAGTTAGAACCTTCATTCGAATTGGAAATTTTCCCAGAAATACAGAACATAAACAACGATATTAAATGCATTTGGTGTAATGAAGAATTCCAAAATGAAGTTTCTCTGAGGGAACATGTGGAAAAATCGCATTAATAAAATCATTTTATAAATATATATTTGCTAATGATTATTCATGTTATATATATTAACAACTGTTTTGGCCTTCGACATTAAAGACAGTCTGCCCAAAAAGGAGCCAACATTTATTTTTCGTGTTCCAGACTTCACACTCACGGCGACAGACTCTCCTTTATAGGCTACCTGACGCCAGAATTTTAAAACAGTCCTTTAAAAAACACAATTACATCCAATTAAAAAAAATCTTTTTAAAAAAGGAACTGGTGTTATACAGACGTCTTGCTTTCCATTCTTCCTATGGGGTGTTTCTGCTTTTATCTACTGGAATAAGCTGTATATACTGTATAATAAATACTTCTTAGACATAGTCTAAAAACTAATACAGTATATACTGTATAAATTTATTACAGTTAGATATGATTTAAAAGTGGAATATTTCATTTTCTATAAAAAGATTATTTTTAAACTTATTATTTTATATATTCGAAAAAATGATGTAAAATTATATTATCAATGACAACGAATTTAAAACTAGTTCTCTGCACTATATTGCGGTGCCTCTAGCTAGAGGCAAAATTCATGTCCAACGTGTACTTTTCATACTGACTGCAAACACGGGTCGACTTTATTTCAAAACTAAACAATTTCGGTCTGAAAGGTTACTTCGAATACCATAATACTTTCATCTAAAAGGTAATGTATAAGTGGTACTTATGGGTTAAGAGGACACCAGTCGGAAATAGCGATCAAAGTCACGATTTTGAATGAAAATATCAAAATAACAATAGACCAGTAAATTTAAATCTAAAAAGAANGTGACGTTCGCCAGATACGGTAACATGTTTTTTTTTTTTTTTTTTGTTTTTACTTTAAAAAATTAATATTAAAAATTTTACTTTTACAATATCTAGTCGACCTTCCATCCAAAGCTTTACAAAATCCTGATCTTTTCCAAGGAGACATTATCGGAATTGAAGACAATGATGTAAGTTTATTTGTTTTAAATGCTTAATCAAAATTAATTAAATTCAATTGAATTTGGTTTAAATTAAAATTTAGGTGAGAAATGCCGTAACGGATCTTATTAATTAATTATTGTTTTGTTTTTAACCTATTGTAAGTCTAAGCATTTCGTATAAACGACTGGCGTTGTTTTTTTCTCTTTTTCATTGTCTTCATATAAATTAATAATGCATATCTTAACTATAGGTTGTTAAATAATAAACTATCCATTTGCGCAAANGGTTAAGAGGACACCAGTCGGAAATAGCGATCAAAGTCACGATTTTGAATGAAAATATCAAAATAACAATAGACCAGTAAATTTAAATCTAAAAAGAAGAAAATTTACTGATAAGGTTGTAAAAATGAAAAAAAATCATTTAGTATGATAATAGATATCACCTATTTACCATATTTGCTGTATACACTACAAAACAATTTGCATATTCGAATGGTTTATTATTAGAATTTGGGAGATTTTGTTATATCTTTATAAATCGTAATTTATTGTTTAATTTAACAATTGTATTAAATTTGACAAATAAAAAATTGCATTATTCTGAAAAAACGCTATTTCCGACTGGCCTCCTCTTAAAGAATCATGCATGTAACAACTACTATATCCAACTTCCTCCTATTCGAATAACAGAACGAGAAGCTTCTATAACACTGTTTATAATGGCCATGACACGTTTAAATAAATGAATCAGAAACCGGAAGTAACGAGCTACAACTAAACGATTAATGGCTGATGCTCATTATTTAAATCCTAGATAGATTCTCTCCTTAGATTGACTAGAGCAGGGGTGGCCAACTTTTGTGTACATAAGATCTACTTTTCATCTTAAAAATGTGTCGCGATCGACTTGTTGTCGTAGACATAGTCTAAGTGGCAGCGGCGTAGCGAGGGGGAAAGGGGTGTATCATGCCCCGGGCGCCACTCGCGGAGGGGCCCCAAATGGTCTCCAAGACAAACTAGATGTGTTTCTGGAGGGGGAGAGGGGCGCCAGTTATGTTCGCTACGCCACTGCTAAGTGGCGAAGGGAAGGTGTGAAATACATAGTATGTTTATACATTGTGTTTCAGTACGAGGTGCACTCTCGGGAGCTATGGATAGTTAAGCAAAATATATGTTCAAAACTGTTTTTTATTTTTTAAATCACTTATAAATTTTCGTTCATAAACAAAATAAATTTCCAGGCCTAACTTTTGATATTTGCATCTATGAGTTTATTCCGTACAGGCGGTACCTAAAAAATTCATTTTTCGACACTTTTTCAAGATTATATTTTAAGTTACTAAGAATCTATTTAATTTTTTTAATCAACTGCAATGTATACGTTGTGGTACTATTTGTTCTTAAATATGAAAAAAGTTGTTATAAAAATGCACAGTGTGGCTGATAATTTGATTTTAAGATTTCACTTTCGAAATTTTTTTTGCACCAGAAAAATTTATCATGGAAGATGATATAAGATTTTTAGACTTATTCTTTGCTAGTCTATCAATAGCTCGCGGGAGTGCACGTCGTAGTGAAACGCCCTGTATATTTACCTACGTAAAAAACAAAATAATTATTTAACGTGCCAAAAAATTCTCATCCAAGGAAATTAAAACATTAGTAATTATTAACAATAATTCATTTTCTAATACCTTTTGCTTGAATTTGATATAATCATTTTCTAATACCTTTTGCTTGAATCCATATGAAATATGGAGCAAAAGGTATTAGAAAATGAAATTTTGGCTAATGCGTTTCACACTTAAATTTTTTTTTAAAAGAAAATATATAAATTCCACAATTTCTTTAATTTTTTCAAAACCTTGGAATCTTACCTTAAAATCTTCAATTACTTTTTGGCTTTCCGCCACGTATTTGTCGATTTTATAATTAATATTTTTATGTTTTTGTATGTTATCCGCCATATTTGGAAAATGATTCAGATTATTTTGTTGCAAATCTTCTATTAGTAAGATAAATTTTGCTTTATATGCATCTATGCAGCTGATCGTATTAATTACTGTTTTATTTTTACCTTGTAATTCTAAATTTAAATGACTTAATATTGAAGTAAAATCGCTAAGAAATGCTAAGTCACTAAGCCACGTTTCATCGTTTAAATTTTTACATTTTCCATCTTGTTGGTTAAGAAAATCTATTATTTCAGGCAATAAATGACGAAATGGTTGCAGAAATTTACTTCTGCTTAGCCATTTAACATCGGTATGTAGTAATAATTCGGGTCGGCCTTCATCGAGATGCAATTGGAAGAGACGCCGTTTGAGAGAACTTCCTCGAATTGAATTTACAATTTTAAACGCTATGTCCATTACCTCTTTTGTGTTTAGTCTCCTGCTGGCTAACACTTGCTGGTGAATTATGCAGTGGTTGCTCAAAAAGGCTGGGAATTCATCTTCATTTTGACATAGGGCTATAAATCCATTTATGCGACATATCATTGCAGCTGCGCCATCCCTTGTTATTCAAACTAATATAAAAAGTGGTACTTTCAAATCCTTGAGAAAGTTTTTAAAGGCTTTGAATATATCTACCTCTCTAGTCCTTTCTTTCAAAGAAATCATACTCAACAATTCTTCTTTACATGTAAAATCTTTAAAAACTATACGAATGAAAACAAGCAATTGTGCTGTATCACTTATATCTGTGGATTCATCACATTAAAGGGAAAAACAAGAACATTTATTAATATCGTTATACAGTAGAGCCTCGATTATCCGACCCAATTGGGGACTGGGGTTGGTCGGATAATTGAAAAGTCGGATAACCGAAAAGTATGAAAAAATCCATTATTAGTGTAGTATATTATTATATCCCATGTAATTAGTATATTAATATATCGCTATCAGTGGCGTGCCGTCATTAGAAGCGTTGGAAGCGCCGCTTCCCTCGTATTCTCTAAAAAAATAAATAAATATTACAAAAATAATTAAAAATCGATAGAGTCGGTAATTTTTTCTTCTTTTGTTTTCTTTTACGTTAATGTAAAATTACGAAAAATTATATTTTTTCTTTCTTTTCCGACTTTAGGATAATATAAAACTTCTATTTTTAAAAAAAGATCAAGTCAATAATGACTCATAAACATTTTTTCAAAAAAGAGTTTAAAAAAGTAAAAAAGAAAAATATATTTTGCAGAGAAAAATTTTTTATTTACATTACTACCAGTAAAATGCCCAAATGCATTTCGCCTACGGCCTCTTCAGTGGGGCTTACAGTATACGATTTACGTTTTAAACATCAACTCGTTAGAGAGCCACTTATATGGTCAACNTCATTTACAACTAAATTTAATGAATGAGAGAGAAGCACCAGGTACAGAAAAGGCTCTAGATTTTATTTTCCTTAAATTTACGATTTATGTATCCGTTGTCATAAAAATTTGTCTTTCCACTTTTTCCCAAGACTACAAATATTCGAGTACAAAGTAACTGGTTTCGACTTATTTCTACTTAAGAAGTAGGTAAATAATTAAGCAATTAGGGAATTGGGGATATAAACAAAACCCCGACGAAAGAGCCGGAATATTACTTAAACAAAAGCTTAACCGAACCAATCTATAGCCGAGTACAGTGGGGACCGATTTCTTCGAAATACTGTATTAGATGTAATAAGGACAGAAATTTTTTCAGTTCGACGAGAGTGACCGAAAAGTTGTAAATTATGGAAATTTCCGTGGACAACACCTGGTCCTAAAACGAATTAGTTAGAAAACAAAAGACGGACAATCTATTAAGTTTAACATTTAGACTTTTACAGCTATGGTGAGAAACGTTTAAAATTTACAAGAACCCTGTCGCGTCTTTTGAGGTATATTAGTGATGCGACAAAAGAAACATTTGACATTGCCAAATCCCGAGGGTATCGGCACCCTCGGGATTTGGCAGCCCGCGTGCATGTACAGTACACACCGCACACCTAGCAGGACCGTCTCTGATTCCACTCGTAGGGAGCTATTTGACTAAGTGGTTAAGATTTAAAGAGTAAAGAATATTTTATGTTATTTTCATGTACGTTTCATTACAAAGTTATATTTAATTATAATTTTCTTTAAAAGTATATTCATACAATTGAAGAATGTTTTGTACCAGGTATGTATATCCACCACACATTTTATTTCACCAAGTAAGTTTTTATAATTTTATTTTTAATTTTAGCCCTTATATCGTGGCTAGCGATTCGGAATGTAATTGCGATATTGAAAATTTATTTTAAAAAAGTTTTGGCTCGAGATCATATAATGAAAAAGAAAACATTATTAAAAGAGAACGG